CAAAGGAACATGTTTCAGACAGACTTGATACGCTTCTGAAGTCAGTTTTTCTATTCCTTCTGTAGGACTTGTATTATTTAGAACAGTTCCCCATGGAATGTTTGTAAGTTCCCTGTTTATTATCTCCCAGTCTATCCTTTTATTATTAAAATTGAATTTACTGAATAGCCCCTCTCGCTTTATCAACGTTTTAGGTCTATTCTGAGTATTGATGGTCGTTTGCACTTCAATGAGTTTGTGATCGGAGTATGTGGTATCTGATATCGTAATGTCTCTGATAATGTCTTCATTGTTCGTAAAGACCAGATCTAGAATATTATCATTTCTCGTTGGCTCCGATATCTGCTGATTGAGTGAAAATTTGTCACAGAATCTAAGTAGTTCTCTAATCTGTGGTTGGTTAGGTCCTGATAGATTTCCTGGTATAATATTATTGTTTGCTATTTTCCACCTGAGACTAGGCAAGTTGAAGTCACCTAGGAAGACAATATCAGGTATCGGGTTCTCCAAATTATCAAGGCTATTCTCTATTTTGCTTATCTGTTCTGTGAATTCCTCAGCCGTTGCATCTGGCGGTTTGTATATTAGTATAATCACTAAATTTATTTTCTCTATTTTTAATCCCAGTACCTCTACCACCTCATTTGTAACGTTTAGGAGCTCCGAGCATACAAGGTCTTCCCTAATATACAGACCCACTCCTCCATGTGACCTAATTTTCCTATCACACCTGTATAGGTTATATCCTGGAATCCAGATCTCACTGTCCCACAATTCCCCTGCATGGGTTTCTGTGAAAGCTCCAAATACTGCATTTGACTCCGTGAGGAGCCCATTTATGAACTGTACTTTGTTGTTTGTTCTTGTTTTCAGTCCTTGTATGTTGGCAAAGATGAATGAGGTTACTCTATTAGTGATAGTTTGAATGGGAGACTTTTTCGGCAAGTCCATTATTCGTGGACATAATGAGTTTGTTCTGACCAGTACTGATTGTTGTAGGGCAGTTTTCTGTCGTAGTTGTAGTTCCCTTTCGGTGGGTAATTGTATCTGTAATTCTGGAATGCAAGTGGATCTGGCATCCAGTTCCATACACTCTCCATGCTGCTCCTTTTGAATTCTCTGCCGGTCTGGTATAAATTTTTTTAGAGTTTCCTCCAAATTCATTATCCTGCTTGCCACTCTTTATGTAGCGTTCCGTGCCTTTCACGTGAAAGTGTGGGCAGCTGAGGTCATAGCATTTTCTGTCCTCCAGTGAGGTTTGGCACATGTCAGGATGGAAAAACCTACATATTGATCCAAATCGACACTCACCTTTCCTAAGCATATTTAAACATTTTTTGGGATGTTGGTAACTGCATTCTAATCCTTTCTTATTACCAGCATATCTATGTCTGCATATGCCCTTTGCATAAAATTTGCATAAGTCTGTCCTTCTGTTCTGAAATGCTCTATCGGGAACCGTCGTAGTGTCTGTACCTATCGAGCTGTCAGTGCTGTCTGGTACACTTTCTAGTTTACTGTCATCTACATCCTGGCCTACTGAGTCAGAGTTTACAACTTCCTGAGTTTCAGCCTCAGTTTCATCCCTGACTATAGCCTCCGCCCCTTGTATATTAGAATTGTTGTTCCTTTCCCACTCCTTCTGGATGGCTGGTAGGCTTCCAATGAATGATGTTTTCCGATCATGCGTCATGTTATCTAGAAGGTTTTTTAGGATATTCCAAGCTGGCAGGTCATTTTTACACACCCAGAGCAAGTGGCCAGCTCTCAGTGCCGTAGTGTTACTCACTCCTGTACAAGCCGAATGGAATCTAGTCTTACAGATATAACATTCAATTCCCGTTACCTTCGTCGTCTTTAAGCCTTGTTTTGTTGTTGTTATCTATATATTTATAATATTATATGTTGTTAATATATGTATATATATTTATATGTTTAATATTTATAATATTATATGTATACAGTGGCCACAAATTTGTACAGGTGACCTATTTACTCCCATATTGCCTTGTTTTGTTGTATATATCTATATATTTATAATATTATATGTATATTGTATATTTGTAACAATATATATGTATATATATTTATATGTTTAATATTTATAATATTATATGTATACCGTATATTTGTAATATTATGTATGTTATTTTGTTCAAACTTTATGGCAGGTACTTAGCGTAGGTAGCGAGGCTGGTCCCCCGGTCAGTACAGGTGACCTCTTGTGGCCCAGGTTGATGTCACCAGTTTCCAGTTACCCGATTTATAACCACTGATGCCGCCTCTTGCCACTATTCTATATTTCTAGTATTCTATATTTATAATATTCACTTCCAACTTATATGTTGTTGTGATACCCGTTCCACATCACTGTTCCACGAATCACCGTTCACTATTTTTTTGTTTTTTTCCTAATACACGCATGTACACAAAGCCTCGTTCACTGGCTCACACGCGGTCTCCCGTTTATTCTCTATTTAACACAAAGTTCTATTGTTAATGACTATTTTCAATTTTCCAGCGGGTCACTATGCACTTTGTTATGTCTGTAATCAGTAATCTTCTGGCATGTTAGAGATCCTAATCATCCAATTCATTGGTCTTCCACTAAAATAAACTTTCCTACCTCTACACAGACGCCGTCTTGTCGAATCGGCTCTGATACACAACCTAGTCCTGACTTTGTTGCTGTTGACTCTTCCCTTTCACAGTATGTATTCAAATGGCTTACACTTTCTAACAAACGTGACCTAACATAATCCTACCCTTCCTTTTATCTTTGTTTTTCTTTCTCTTACGATCCCTTTCTTATTCCTATTATTACACCCTTTATTACACTTTACCTTCCGTACCTTTTGCCTTGCTCTTATCTTCCTCTAAAATTTCCATCTCCTCATTTCTCTCTCTTGCCTACTTAATGCCCTTGCCTCCCGCGTCTCATCACAATCGACTTGATAATGGTCCAGGACGGACCGAAACGTCGTCGTCTCTTAAATTTCTAGTGAGTGGTTTGGTAAACATTTTTCAGCCACGTTATTATGACTCATCATCTGAATATATAATTATACATGAATAAATGGATCCAGATAATATGTGCATGGAGATAGAGATGTTATACTCACCTGACAATCACTGTAACGTCAGATTACAGGCCGAAGGCACAACTTGAGGATTCCTGAGGTCCCTTTCTGCCTCTTTAACTCAAACTTCAAGACATAGTCAGTAATGATTATAAATTGTCAGGTGAAGAGCATTGTAGTTGCATAAGTATATCAAGTTAATATTAGGGAGAGAGGTAAAGTGTTCAGTCAATCGCTCTTATACCGACCCAATAACAGGGATTTAAGTATCCATATGATGCAGACGAAGGGCTGCTCGCTGCTCCAGCCCATTCTCCCATACGTTTCTAACGTTCTAAACTGATGTACTAAATTACCTGAAATTACCCTACACGAGGACCCACTAACAGAAAACAGAGTACGAACATTTTGCGAGCCGCTACGATTTATTGTGCTTCAGTTTTTGGCCTAAGTAACTCTATGTCAAATTCCGATGTAATTTTGGAGCAGCAAGCTCCCATTCCTTAACATTTTCTATATTTACACATTTATCAGTGGTAAATGGTAAATAATTATTAATAATATTACTATTAACTTATTAATAATTATCTTGATAACATAATTCTTTATAGTTTGATAATAAATTTAATGTTCTTATAATTGTGATTATTGTGCAGCATTGAATTGTGTCAAATGTGGAAAGATTAGACTGTTTTAAATTTCAAATAATACAAATCGTGTTTGTCATGATTCAATTGTTGACTTTATTTTATTAACTAGGCTATCGTTCTGGTGTTAAAATTTCCAAATTCAAGATATTGTATTGTGTTGATATTATTTAATGGTAAAGCTTACTCTACCTGTTATTTCTCCCTACCATGTGGAAAAATCTTTCCCTCGTTAGAAACTTATAGAAAGAGTTTACAAGATTTTTGTCACTTATGCAGTTTCTCAAATTTTTATTGACAATAAAATTTTTATTACTTTATATAAAACAGTGGAAATATTTTTATCTTAAATTGTAACCCACTTATTGAATACTTGACCCTAAAACAATTATTTAACTTAAAGATAAAAAGAGTAATTAATTGTTGGAGTAGTTGCCCAGTAGTATATGTTCTATATCTACTACTTCTATAGACAAACTGACTTTTAACTCTGGGAGGCAGTAAAGTTGCTAGCTTTCTCACTCCGTGTAGCCAAGTATACTTTAACAGACACGTTTAGCTAAAATAACAGGTAAGGTAGCATGTATTATATATACCTAATAACAATGAAACATCTCCAGGTATGTAGTATATTGCCAGCCACGAAAAACCCGTTACAAAGTATAATATTTCTGAAATCAGTGGTATACATCCGTCCCTTTACACCACAGCTGGAAATGTAGCAGAATTGCACCTTCAGCTGGTGTATGAAATTTCATGACAATTCTCTGTCGACCATTAAATTAAAGCTATATGGACATAGGGCACCTCTGTTCAATTACTTTATAATTCTTAAGGTATGGTAACTTTGCTTACGAACTTCCTATGATCTATTACGCTTGTCTCTGTGAATCACAAGAAAAACTATAACCTAATGCATGAAACATATCAAGACATTAGCCTAGTTTCTTGATACGTTATTACATAGACATATAAAAGGATTTGTATGTTATTCCAAATTAGGTACTAACATTTCAAAATGCTGCCATCACAAATAAGAAATAAATAAAACATTCAATTTCCCATGTAAACTTAACACATTACATGTCTACTGGTCAATTTGCATATGCTGACTGTTTACTTAATCATAAACCTTCATTTGCATATTTAACATGCCACATGTGCTTTTGTAAGTAATCTGTTCTCATCTGGTGTGCAATTTCACCTACGTTAATGAACCTTTGTTATTTTAAATTATGAAGAACAGCCTTGTTCATAACATGATAACACATACCTTGACGAGTTGGATAAGTTGAGGACAGAGTAGATGGAAACAGGTAGGCAGTTGTCAGGTCAGCATGTGATGGATCAGCAGGTGATGGGTCAGTAGATGATGGATCAGCAGGCGATGAGTCACCAGATGATGGATCAGCAGGCGATGAGTCACCAGATGATGGATCAGTAGGTACCATGTCAGCAGGCAGAGTGCCAGCAGACAACGTTTCAACCGGCAGGATATCAGCAAGCACCGTGCCAACAGGCAGAGTGTTAGTAGGAATCATGTCAACTAACTCCATGTCAACAGTCACCATGTCAGCAGGTACTGTGCCATCAGGCACCATACTAACAAGCACGGTGTCAGAAGGGGCCTGGAGAGGCAGGGTGTCAGCAGGGGCCGGGAGAGGCAGGGAGTCAGCAGGGACCTGGAGAGGCAGGATATCAGCAGGGGTCTGGAGAGGCAGAGTATCAGCAGGGGCCTGGAGAGGCAGGGTGTCAGCAGGGGCCGGGACAGGCAGGGTGTGGACAAGAGACACCGTAGCAGCCATCACAATAAACAGCCGCAACACTGCAGAAGTCGTCACCAAACTCTGCCTCTTCCTTGCACTGTTAATCCTGACTTTCTTGTTGTGTTGTTTCCGGTGGCCATTGCGGTGGTGTTGACTCATCTTTGGCTCTGGCCACAACTGCTGCTGCTATAGAGTACTTATGGATGTGCAGCTTATTCCTGTGTTGCTGCTGCTGTTCTCAGGCACTGCTCTGTCGCCTGGTCTTGCAACAGCTGCTGTACTCATCAGATACTGCTCTTGCTCCTAGCAATGTTCTTCACTGTAATAGAAAAGAGATAAAATATTGCAATTAAAATCAAATTTGTATATAAAATCCAAATGCTTAAGTTATTGCCATGCAATAACGTATGCATTATATTTAAGTCTTTATTTCTTATTTCTTGCTGGAACCATTTAAACCTTCCTATTAGTTCCACTTTATACTATGACCATCCATTAATTAATAATTAAATCAATTATACATCATAAATAAAATTACACTAAATTAAATAATTTTTTAATATCTATTTTTTTAATTATCAGGGGAAAGCGCCAAGCTCTTACGAATTTATAGAGCTGGGAAGGGGTCAGGATAAGGATTTGGGATGGAACGGGGGGAAAGTAATGGTGCCCAACCACTTGGACGGTCGGGGATTGAATGCCGACCTGCATGAAGCGAGACCCACAATACCTGCCTGGCGAGTACATCCTCGCACCATGACCATCCATAACTTACTGGCAACAATGTTGTATCCACATTATTTTGTAAACATTAGTTACTCTCTCTCTCAACGTACCGGCGGCGTAAGTAGTGGATGGAGCGTGAGGAGGAGTATGTAAGTGGCAAATGGATTGGAGCCAGTGAGCGGGAGGCACTCTGGGTCAGCGGTCAGGGTAGGCAAGGTGTGGCTACACAGGACTCCAGTAGAGGCAGCGAGTCACAGACGTGACCTCAAGTGCAATATGAGACGGTCAGTGTTAGGCCTCATTTATTGTGAGAACACTGTTGACATGTTGATCGGAAGTGGTTTGGGAAGGATCAATACTAAGAGGAGGTTGAATAAAAGAGACGCCAGCAATGTGGCATATTTCATTCTGCAAAGGACCATGATGCTGGTGGTGGTGTGGACCTGGTATGGTGAGGACCATGATGCTGGTGGTGGTGTGGACCTGGTATGGTGAGGACCATGATGCTGGTGGTGGTGTGGACCTGGTATGGTGAGGACCATGATGCTGGTGGTGTGGACCTGGTATAGTGAGGACCTTGATGCTGGTGGTGTGGACTTGGTATGGTGAGGACCGTGATGCTGGTGGTGGTGTGGACCTGGTATGGTGAGGACCGTGATGCTGGTGGTGGTGTGGACCTGGTATGGTGGTGGTGGACCATGATGCTGGTGGTGTGGACCTGGTATAGTGAGGACCTTGATGCTGGTGGTGTGGACCTGGTATGGTGAGGACCGTGATGCTGGTGGTGGTGTGGACCTGGTATGGTGAGGACCGTGATGCTGGTGTGTGGACCTGTGGACCTGATGCTGGTGGTGGTGTGGACCTGGTATGGTGAGGACCATGATGCTGGTGGTGGTGTGGACCTGGTATGGTGAGGACCATGATGCTGGTGGTGTGGACCTGGTATAGTGAGGACCTTGATGCTGGTGGTGTGGACTTGGTATGGTGAGGACCGTGATGCTGGTGGTGGTGTGGACCTGGTATGGTGAGGACCGTGATGCTGGTTGTGTGGACCTGGTATAGTGAGGACCTTGATGCTGGTGGTGTGGACCTGGTATGGTGAGGACCGAGATGCTGGTGGTGGTGTGGACCTGGTATGGTGAGGACCATGATGCTGGTTGTGTGGACCTGGTATGGTGAGGACCATGATGCTGGTGGTGTGGACCTGGTATAGTGAGGACCTTGATGCTGGTGGTATGTACCTGGTATGGTGAGGACCGTGATGCTGGTGGTGTGGACCTGGTATGGTGAGGACCATGATGCTGGTGGTGTGGACCTGGTATGGTGAGGACCGTGATGCTGGTGGTGTGGACCTGGTATGGTGAGGACCTTGATGCTGGTGGTGTGGACCTGGTATAGTGAGGACCATGATGCTGGTGGTTGTGTGGACCTGGTATGGTGAGGACCGTGATGCTGGTGGTGGTGTGGACCTGGTATGGCGAGGACCATGATGCTGGTGGTGTGGACCTGGTATGGTGAGGACCATGATGCTGGTGGTGTGGACCTGGTATGGTGAGGACCATGATGCTGGTGGTGTGGACCTGGTATGGTGAGGACCATGATGCTGGTGGTGTGGACCTGGTATGGTGAGGACCATGATGCTGGTGGTGTGGACCTGGTATAGTGAGGACCATGATGCTGGTGGTTGTGTGGACCTGGTATGGTGAGGACCGTGATGCTGGTGGTGGTGTGGACCTGGTATGGCGAGGACCATGATGCTGGTGGTGTGGACCTGGTATGGTGAGGACCATGATGCTGGTGGTGTGGACCTGGTATGGTGAGGACCATGATGCTGGTGGTGTGGACCTGGTATGGTGAGGACCATGATGCTGGTGGTGTGGACCTGGTATGGTGAGGACCGTGATGCTGGTGGTGTGGACCTGGTATGGTGAGGACCTTGATGCTGGTGGTGGTGTGGACCTGGTATGGTGAGGACCGTGATGCTGGTGGTGGTGTGGACCTGGTATGGTGAGGACCATGATGCTGGTGGTGTGGACCTGGTATGGTGAGGACCATGATGCTGGTGGTGTGGACCTGGTATGGTGAGGACCGTGATGCTGGTGGTGTGGACCTGGTACGGTGAGGACCTTGATGCTGGTGGTGTGGACCTGGTATGGTGAGGACCATGATGCTGGTGGTGTGGACCTGGTATGGTGAGGACCATGATGCTTGTGGTGTGGACCTGGTATGGTGAGGACCATGATGCTTGTGGTGTGGACCTGGTATGGACTCAGCCGAGTTAGCTGCGTATTGGTTCAACATGTCCAAGTGGTCGCGACTCACACTCACCGAGCAGCCAGCCGATGTCCCGTGGTGAACTCTGTGATTGGTTGGTTGTGAGTGTGAGTGACTGACATTTGGCTGGTGATTTGAGAGAGAGTTGAGGTGGTCTCCCAAGAGTGGATATTTAAAGATTGGGTAATTAGGATTTAGGATATGACCAGCGGTGGCTGGTGTAGATCTGGGTTTATGGGTTGGTGTATCAACTTGTGATATACATTGTGTATATAGTTCAAATGCAGAATATTTATACCTAGTGGCGTTTAGTTAACCCCTGTGATCCCTTGTCACTTTGGAGGCAATTCCCAATTCAAATTCCCGTCAGTACAGTGGCTAGTTCTGCACTCTCACAGTGCAGAGTCACAGTACGAGAACGTTCCCCTCTATAGAGATATAAATAAAAATCTAAGAAGGCACCTAAATAGTCCGAAGTAGATATTATGACTGGAAAGCATTTTCTATAATCTGTGGTAAATGTAGAAAACTCAATGTGACAAAATATGAAATTAGAGGAAAAAGTTAAAAAAAAAGTATTTTTTAGAACACTGGTAATTGAGAGAAAGCGTGGACGGCTCGTTGACTGTGGTGGCTGGCGTGTAGCAGAGAGGGATCTCAGTATGGTCACCCTCCGCACCGGGATCTCCCCGCTGTCGTTGGTAGCTAGGTGCGGTGACGTTGTTTAACATATCTGTAGTGCTCTTTTATGTGATAGTTAGGTGTAGGATGCACTCTTTTGTTTTTACATGGCCCAGTGGCGGCTGGCAATAATTGTTGACTGTTCCATCCATTCTAGAGATTGTGTTAACTTGAATTGAGGTTCATTCTTATGCACCTGTCATATTACCTGCTATTGACGTTGCTGTATCACATTACTAACTATCAAGAACCTTATTTACGTATGTGAAGTGCTGTTAGAATATATAAATTGGGTATATCAAGTTGTGGAAAGATTACAAAGTAATCCATTCCATTCACCTGGACATCCACAGTGTGGATGGCAATTTATATTACAAATTAATATAACTTATGTGCCTATATCCCAGATTTTGTGGGACCATTAGTCAAAGTTAATACCAAGTCTTTTAAATAACACCTCAATTGCAATAATGATTTTGTAAAGCAACTTTAAGACCTATTAATAAAACTCTTTTGTAATTATGGAAACAATTATTTTCCTTTGTATCCCATAATTTTGTTGGGCCCCTAGGAGAGAGAGGTGTATTTTTCCACTCAGGTTCGTTTGATATATTATTTACAATTATGGCTATTATAAAGCAGACTCTGTTTGTTCTTCAGTGTATGGCTTAAAAGCTGGTGGCCTTACATGGCGGTTTATGGGGCCCCTTTTGGGTATCTAATGTGGTGCCCATTAGCACATTAGGTGCCCTTACATGGACTGGTAAGTCCATGTAAGCATTGGCCGGTAGGGTTACGCTACCACATTTCTTATTTGTATGTCAATCTGGGTGACAGATCGTAATGCATCACTATGTGAAATTTCCTTGCCGAACTCCCATGCCGTTTTGCGTCAAATGGGGAAAAAATTATTACTGGATATTTATGACTTACTAACCTCAGTTTAGTGTGCTCTGTGCAGCATAAATCTTGAGTTTATCTTACCTAACCAAGGGTCTAGTAGTAAATCTTGATTGAATTTTATGCTAATTAACTAAATATTTTTTTTAATATGTGGCAAATGTGAGGTAATGAGTTTCTGATTAGAAAATCTGTACATATCGCCTCCATAAAAAGTTATGGGTAGACACATTTAAATTCTTCTATAAAGTTAGAAATTAAGTGAGATGATTATTATACTTGGCCTTACTATTCCGTTCAACCAGTAAACTATACAAACTGCTAATTGAAGCTGCTCTGACCGCACGGCCTCTATCTTTGTTTACTGGTGATCTATATTACAAATCAGCGGCAGTCCTGGTGTGGTGTTCTTCTTTTCAACACCCGAGATTCTCCTGGGAAGAGGATTCTTCTTCTAGCATGTTTACACCATCACAAGAAAATCACCCGAACTCACCTTTGGTTATGCCAGATAATATATCTTAAGCTGGTGACTGGAAACCAAAACCACGAGCTTAGTCTTACATATTCCCGAAGCTAATGCACCAAGCCTTAGTGCTATACTACATGAAGGTAAGAGCCAAATTGAGTTAGGGCCTTTATTAATAGTGAATCACATTCATTTTAGTATGATAGCCATTGGATACTGGTAGATATAGCCCTTCCAGTCATATTTTTTATTTTGTAGCAGTTATATTCGAGCTGGACTTTATTTTACGTTTTACCGTCGTTATTTTTTCCTTTGGTAGCCCTGGGGGATGTGTAATGCTCGATTAAAGTTATAATTCTCGGTCAGACTTTAACCTGGCTG